CCAAAAGTTTACAATCCCAGTCATTAGGTGTGATTGGATAGATAGTACTTCCGGCCTTGTAGTCGACGAACTTGGATTTACCCTTGTAGATTTGAGTAAAATTGGACATAGGAATGACCAATTTGTTTTGGCTTCTCAAGTCAAACAAGTATTTTTTGTTGACGACCTGATGCATTGTGGTTGGTCGGTAGTGTTATCAATGCCTAATAGAGAATATAATGATGTTATTGGTGATGATGTCTTAGGTGATGTGAGAATTGAGTGTGAGTCATTTACTAGAGGGATGCCAAATGTTGGCACATTTGATGAACTGGTGGGTGAGTTTGGGAGTCAAAATATTCGAGATGGGTGTGAAGATATATGGATTGAATGATACTCTTGTAATTTATGAAATTACTTATGCCCTAAACGGCAGTGTATGACATTAATTTTGTAATAAATTGTAATGTGTTTTCTTCACTTTCATTATGCAGGTTTTGGCCACAATACAATAAGTACAAAAAATACTGGTTCAAGATTACAAAAACGACGATCCTGATAAAAATGTGAAAAATAGACGTCTGTTTTAATAAAATTGTCATTAAAAAAAGACGTTTTGGAGCATTCAACGACTGCAATGTATTTACCGACGTCTAAAAGCAACGTAAAAATAAAGAACCACGATGGTATTGTGAAAGAGTTATTAACGATATCACCTCGGAGAAGCCTACAGAGCCGACATGTAATTACAAATAACACGACTCTAATCCCATAATACCGACGTCTAAAAAATATCTATTACCATCAACATATAATCTACGTCGTCTTTTAAGGCCACAAAAGGCTTCCGCGTCAAAGACGTTTTGGAGCATTCAACGGCTGCAATGTATTTACCGACGTCTAAAAGCAACGTAAAAATAAAGAACCACGATGGTATTGTGAAAGAGTTATTAACTATAGCACCTCGGAGAAGCCTACAGAGCCGACATGTAATTACAAATAACACGACTCTAATCCCATAATACCGACGTCTAAAAAATATCTATTACCATCAACATATAATCTACGTCGTCTTTTAAGGCCACAAAAGGCTTCCGCGTCAAGATATCTGACCTGAACGTTACAAAAGATGACGTCTTAGAATATGAACTCGTCCGTATCAACTCAAAATTCGTCGTTTTAAATCTGTACCACGTCGCTTTTTATCTCATAAATGAAGTGGAAACTGAACAATTCACGACGGTATTTGAAATCTAGAGGTAAATTTATCGACGTAAAGATCTATTTGGACGTCGTTTATTTTATTCTTATGTTGTGAAAAAGGTTTTACACGGCGATTGACTGACAAACTTTGCCGTTTCAGATGTATTAGATGACGTTTATTCTGGTAAAGATGACATATAAAATCCGAAACACGGCTGTCTTTTATATGTGGATGACGTTGTTCATGAAAGACAACGCCGTCTATTGAAATAAATGTGTCGTAAGTAATGATCCTAACCTATTTTCGACGTCGTTTATTTTTCGATCATGCCATTAACATCTATTTACACTGAGATTGACTGACAAACTTTGCCGTCTCAGATATATTAGATGACGATCATGTTGTTTAAGATGACGTATAAATTCGGAAATACGACTACATTTAATTTTCAAACGACGTTTTCGATTAAAAACAACGTTGTCTGTAGACATAAATGCGTCGTAAGGAATGACCCTAACCTCTATTTCCATGTCAACATTTATGGAAAAAACAAAGTGGAAAATATATTTCACACGACGATTATATACATAGTGGTGACGTAGTATACATTAATAACGTCGTCTGTTGTTTATTTAAAGACGTCATAATTGTATTTCACGTTTCTTGTTTGATCTTGTGTCGTGAAAGGTATATATAACGGCTGTGAGTTTTAGTTTTCATCGTGGAATCACTTATTTACGGCCATGTTCTGTTAAAATACGTCATGTGTTAGTTTTTAAATGACGTTTGTGTGTTAAAATTGGTCGTCTATCCTTATCTTTGACAATTTTTTTCGCTCATTTTTCAATATACAGACGTCGGTTGTTATTTGTTAATGAAGTTGTTGATTTTAACAACGACGGGGATTTACCGTCGTGGTTTTCTTCTGTAAAAGATGTCGGTCAATTTCATGACGGTTTGAAAACCGGATACATGACGGTGAATTCCCATCGTCTTTTACCTTTTTTTTAGTAGTGAACACTAAATCTTTGTGTTCTTTTGTGTTTTGCTTACTCTCTTCGTTGTGTGTGTATTTTATTCTCAAGGAGTTTGTGTATGATCCGGTTACATAGTCCATCAACGGCAAGGTCTTGGAGTGTTTGCACAGTCATTCCCTTATATGGCATTACTTTGGTTCAAAGGTATTTGGCCAATGCTCAGCCAAATTTCTCTTTGGGGCTGGTAGAGGTGACTTTTTTTTGGAATTCACTTCGATATAGTTTTATTACTTAGATTTCCTCAAGTACATTTCATATACCAAACTGCTCAATATTCATGTATTTTCCATCTGTCTCTTCAATCTCCTTATCAACAAGACATAAACCTTTTGTAATCTATGATTTAACTGAAAACTAATCCTTAGTAAATCTAGCTTTCCCCCTTAAAATTAATTTTCTCTTACATCCAACCCACCACCTTATATATCTATAAATAAAACCCAATTTTTATAGTTAAAAACCCATTATCCAACTCAACAAATAACCTAATCAAACTTAAAATATGATTTATTGTACAATTTAGATAATAGGTAAACTATTATTCATAAAAGATAATAGGTAGATGGAAATCAGCCCCATAATTAAAACAGAAAAAATTAATTGAAACAAAAATTCTGGAGGGAATCTCCACAATAAATTGGGAAACGAAAAATTAAAACACCACTACGTACATAACACATTGAATTGTAAATATGGGTATTTCGGGAATTTAAAAATTATAACAAATCAGATATTGAGCTTAATAAGGTAAGTTGATGAGTGTTCTAAGAGAGCAATACAACATTAAGTAATGGCTAATAACTCCTGCTCTCACAAACCCTAGCCACACCCTGGTCCCCTTTCTCCTTTCCGACAACCAACCGCAAGGAAGCTAGGGGGGAGGTGGCTATTGCCCCCTCCTCCCCACCACCCATCTTCCCTTTCCTCTCCTCATCTCCATTTCTTTTCCCTTTCTCTTATCCCCTATTATCCTCCCCTTCCCCTCCCCACATAGTCTAGATCTGTTTGGATCTAGGTCTGTTTGTCTATTTGTTTTGTTTGATTACTTTTGCAGTGTTCTAGGTGGATGGTGTTGTCTTTGTCTCAGTGGTGGTGACAATAGTGACGCTGGATTGTGTCTCTCCTTGGGAGAGTTGTGACGCCTGGTGGTTGATGTTTTGTCTCTGTTTCAACAAAGACGGCAGCATCGAAGCTGGTGGTAGTTGTTGGGATATAGTGCTCTTTTATTCTCTACGCCTACCGAAGAACTGTGCTTGGTCATAGGAGGTTTTCTTTGTCATAAGGTGGTGGGTGGTTGTCTCTCAACAACAAAGGGAAATCGGGGAGGGAGGGTCTAGGTGGTTGTTAAGTTGGGGTTCTGGGTTCATTGGGAGGGGGGTCTATGGAATTTTTTTTAGAGAGAGATTTTTATTTCATTTTTCAGTATAGGGTTTAGGGTCCTCAAACTTATACCCAATTTACACTTATTTAACACAACACAAAGGTAAAATACAACTAGGATACTAGAAATGAGTAAAGAAAAATAGAAGAAATGAAACAAAACAAGAAACCAAAGGTAAACACAAACAACAATTTCTATCACCCCTTCATCACCTATGTATTAGCACTTTATCACCTATTTGGGGAACCTAGGACGGTTATGGACAGTTTTACCCTTACATTTAACGGCAACATGGACAGAATGTAACGGTAGGACCAATGGACCAAATAATATAGAGTTGATGGACTATTTGAACAAATAATTTAATTGAGGGACCAAAATGTAAATCGGGTATAAGTTTGAGGACCATTTGAGTAATTTTTATTAATAGGAACAAAAAGTTATGAGTTGTAGGTAAATAAAATTCAATTATTTACCAAAAAAAATTTCAATTTGGAGGGGATAAGCCAAATTTAATATATAATTTATTTACTTAACTGGATTGTTTTATCCCTGTATTTCACGGCAACACTGACATAATGTAACGGTGAGACTAATTTGTCCAATAATAAAGAGTATGTGAACTATTTGAATGAATAATATTTTAGCTAAAGAACAACAATGCAAATCGTGTATAAGTTCGGGGACCATTTGAGTCAAAAAATTTATATAGGCCATATATTGTTCCAAAGTAACATGTTTGTGTTTTTATTTCGAATGCCTTTGTTTTTAATTTTTCATTACTATTTTTAATTTTTATTTTCATTCTTTATTTACCATTAAACTTTGCCAAGCTTAAATTGGATCGATATAGCTCGTTCGAACTCAACTTAATTTATTTTTTAACTCATTGGAGACCAGCTCGACAAAGAAACAAATCAAGCCAAGCAGAATCACTATTCTATTCTATTCAGCTTCACACATTAACACCTCTAACTAATATATTTTAGGATTAAATAAACCTAGAACATCCCTCATTCTATATGTAATAATCGTGATTTTAATAAACATGATAATACTCTCTCAAAAAGATTAGCATTTTATCTCTTACATACGCGTGTAAGAGATAAAGATTATGTAGGAGATAAATGCTAATCTTTTTTCCTTATTTTTTGCCACAGATAAAGATTATCTCTTACATAGCATTTGATCCCCGATTAATAAGTTGTATAAATCCTACTTCGCCTCCCATAAGAAAAGCAAACCCTACTTGTTCACCCTTCACTCACTCTCCAAGTTATTAGTTTCTAAAACCTGAAACTTATACTTTCACGTTCAGGCCCTTTCTTATATACTTTCTTCTATCAACAAGATATCAAACCAGGAAACCCTAAGAAATAAGCAACTTCTTGATTCCAATATGGCTGAGGATGGTTATGCTTATGATCGTGTGCCTCCAGGCTACCACTTTTGCCCCTCGGAAGAAGAACTCCTTCTCTACTACCTTCGCCCTAAGGTAAACGGTGAGGAGGTACCTGGGGAAAACCACGTCGTTTTTGACTTCAATCTATACAGTGACCAACCTCGGAAGATATGGGATCACTTCCAAACAACAAGACAAAACGATTTGAAGTTGAGCAACGACCTCTACTTCTTCACTGAGCTTCAGACAAAGACCACAAATGGCTCGCGTGTATCCCGAACTGTTGGGGGCGGCACCTGGAAAGGCGAAGATGGGGGCAAAAAAATATGTGCTCCGGGTACTGACCATGTTATTGGCATAAAAAAAAGATTTCGCTATGAGAATAAGGGGTCTGCAGAGCATGGCAGGTGGCTCATGCATGAATTCGAACTTGGTCAATCCCTGATACACAATAGACAAGTAAGTATATGTTGTTTCTTTTATTCTATCTTTGTGTTCATGCCAAGAATTATGTTATATTTTCTTTGGATTTATTTGAGTATATTTCACTGCTTCGCTTTTGTTATGTTGTTCTTTGGAGAAAAATTTCATGTATTTACAATCATGAAGATTTGAACATTTAGGGATTTGAATCTCATCGTGTATGGAACATAAAAGAAGTCATTATATTCATCTGGTTTGATATGTTTGCAGAACATCCAACATGTATCTATATTTGTTCTTCTTTTTTTCAGTATTGATTAATTTCGGGATTTTATATATTATTGAACCAAAATCTTTATCCAATTCGCAGGCAAAGAAATATGTTCTATGTCTACTCAGGAAAAAGGAGGAACCCGAAAAGAAAAGAAAAGAACCAGAGGGGGAGGACAGCGGACAAGTAGTGTGCCTCGAGACACAAGAGAAAAGGCAACGCATGCTACCGTGCATTGATAATGTGCCATCACCACATCCACAACCACAACCACCAGAAAATTATGTATTCATAGTTGAACTGCCAGTGCCACAAAGCCTCCAGCCATGGATTGATAACAGTCCACCATTAGCAGCTCAAGTGCAAGAAGAAACTTTGGGACAAGAATTGCTCACACCTTGTGTCGATTTTGTACCGTCATTTGCAAGCGAAGAGCTGAGTATCTTAGAATGGGACGAAAGTTTGTGGGAGCCATTCCTCCTACAAAGTGTTGATGATGTACCAAAACCAGTAGCTGTGGGTGCCACCATGCGAAGGGATGAAAATGAGGTCATATACACTGCTTCTACGTCAGCCTTACCGATTGATTGCACCGGGCATATTGCGACCCAAGCTGATAATCCATAAAGCAATGTGTTCGGAGGATTGGGTGGACTTGATGATAGTTTCAACTGTACTCCCTGGATCAATTCTGTTGAGGGAGACCCAGCATCTGGGATCAACACGACTGAAGAAGACAATTTAAAGTTGTAACAAAATATTTTGCAGGGGGCTTGGTCCCCAGTGGTATTTCTTGTATTTCTTCATGTTTCTTATTAATAAAACTGTGATCAAGGGGACGGGCGGGGGGCTCCCGGAATGTGTTGGTCCCCTCTTTGAGGGTGGTGGATGTTTGTGCATCCGATGACCGATACTGAGGAGCTAATCTCGCCTAATCCCTTGTTCTATTAAAAAAATATATTTTGCAGGGGTTGTGTACAAATTAGGGTCCTTTAATTTGCTTGGTGTTTCGCCAATTACATGAAACTTGAAATTCTTTGTTGAAGCGTTACATATACAATTGTTTCTAGACATAGTAATGAGACCATTAAACGACCCAAATTGGTTTTAAGTTTGTTTCTTCTTTTTTTTCACCAAGAAAAAAGGAAATTTATTCATCAATAAAAATGTTAACGTTCCAATAAGGGTGTAAACCATCCCAACCACAAGAAACTTACAGGATTTATAAGCAAAATCAGCTACCAAATCTCCAGCTTGATTACACTTATACACCATCCGCAGCTACCAAATTTATTCATCAATATATAACATGCGCACTTCTTTCTTCTGCCCCCTTTAGGCCAAAAATCCCTTTACCCCGACTGTTAGAAGGGGCCGAGGACAATTTTTTCACCATCAATGTCAGATTACTATTCTTGGCTACAGAACGAAGATTGGGGAACCTGCTGTTGTGTTTGCTTCTAAAAGTCTTGCTATGGTTTCATGGCCTTCAGGATCTAGATCATCTACAGTTGTGACTCGTCGCCTGACTCCAGTAGAAAAGGAGAAATTTAAGTGTGATCAGTGTGTTGAAAAAAAACAACACTATAGACACAAGTTAGGCGTTACATGGGATACTAGATTGGGAAAAGGAATTCTGAGACTTCGCATTGCATTGCGCCCCAGAAAGTGAGGCTATTGGAGCCTTGTCATGCCATGACATGTCTGTCACGCCCCAACCCACGGGTTTACGTAACCTTGGATTAAGACGTGATTCACACCTTAATTATAGAATTTAATAAAAACTATAACTAAAATGTGAAGAAATATTTAAATAAATAAAGTAAATATTTTTCATAGAATATTCAGGGAAACGACAACATCTGAAATCTTGAAATTGTTACATTATTTTACATGTCAGAACTACTCAAGAGTTCACTAAAAGAGTAGCTCATTATTTATCCACAAGCTATGTACACAGTACATTCTTATAAATATGCCAAAATCATCACAAGCTCTAGATTTCAGGTTCGATACCTGCAAAATCTATTAGGGGGTGAGCGAAACCACAGTTCAGTAGGGACATAAACCTTTTTACAGGAAATTGATATAATTAAATTAAGTGACATTCAATCACACAGCCAAATATCACATTATTAATAATAATGCATGAATTCTCTTCATCTAATCCCGTTAATTCATATTACTGGACAAGCAGACCTGCACGTCCCATACCATGCTTATACCACTTGGTCCCGAATGCCCATTTATATGAACTAACACCCATCTCAATGTAATACCCCGAAAAATTCAAGGTGAATTTTCATATTTTAGGGAAAAATAATATTATAGTGGAGAATGATTATGGGTATTTTATCAAGAGAGTTTGGATTGAGATTATTAAATTAAGTATGTTTAATTTGAAGTTGGACAAAAATGACCAAAAAATACCCCGATGTGTGAAAGATTACCAAAAATTTTATTAAATAAAAATTGAAGGAGGCAATGTGTAAGCCAAGCCTTTCTTCCCTCCTTCATTCCTTCCCCCTTCCCTCATACAATCTCTTCAAAAAATCTAGTTTTGATCTCAATTTGGATGAGTTGTAAACCTATGGTAGATGAGTCACCTCATCTAGGCTAAGAAAATTAATTGCATAAACTAAGATAAGTTTTGGGATGAAAGAAATGAAATTTGGGTGAGGAAGAAAGGAGAAAATAGGAGGAAGAGAATAAAAAAGTTTCTAAGGTGAGTCAATTTCGAAAATTTTGGTTTTAACCTTGTGGTTGTGTGATTTTAATCTCTTAAAGAATAATTTGAGTCATATGAGTGTTAGGAAGATTGAATTGGAAGAGGTTGAACCTTTATTTTCGGATTGGGTGGATAGAACAATTTTTTTCAACTATGGGTGTTGTTGATTTTGGTTTCATTTTGAGGTTTTGATGAGTTCAATTGATAGGTATAAAGTTTAGAAGAGTTTTAGAAGCCTTAGGAACAGCTTGGTGTGTTAGAATGGTTGAAAACAACTTTGAACCAAATCTGGAAATTTGCATTTTCTGGAAATTTGCAGTCCGCGAGCCTCACTTTGGCTCTCTTTTTCTCCCAATACTTTGAGTTTTTGAGGAAGTCATTTATTGGGTTTTAAACTAGACATGGCAAGGAATAAAAAAAAATTGGTTTCGTCGAAGTTGGTTGAGTTTTGATACGTCAAACACATGTGCAAAGTTTGGAAACAAATCTGTTTTCTGCAGAAAAACCAGCCACGAGTCCAATTTTGGAGCTGGTTTTCTCCTTCGTTCTAGCTCCGTTTTCAGTGTGGTTTGTTGGGTTAGAAACTAGAGATACTAAGCTTCAAAACAATTATAAGTTTGCTCATTTTCGTTAATGTTTGGTCAGTCAAAATGCCTCACAAAATCTGGGATTAAATCTGGAAAACAGGGAAAGTTGCAGGATTTTTTTTAAAGACGATGAACAATAACCGGAACAAGCCCACTCACGGCTCCGACAAGTGGCGGCGCGTGGCGGCTGTTCCGACAGCCTCCGACGCCATATTTTTAGTCCATTCGACTAGATTTTTCGATCCAAGTCCGATAGTATATGTTTTGAGTCAATCCGAGGTGGTGCAAAGTATGGGTTGTTGTGAGGCCCACGGGACCCAAATTGTAACTTTTGGATAAAGGGTGTTGTTGGTCTTGTTTCGGTGTTGACAGGGCATAGGATAGAGTTTTAGATTATTTTGGACGATATTTGGCCGCTTTGGACCCCGGGTTGGTCCTAGGGGCATTTTCGTCATTTTCGCGCAAAATCTTTGAAATGCATAAGGTTGAGGTTGGTCTTAGGTGAAATAGTGTGAAGATTTCTCAATAATAATTTGGATTTGAATTTGTTCAGGAATGGGATCAAAAGTGTAGATTTGACAACTCCGAGAACTTCCGAAGGTTAATTTTGGTACTTTAGCTAGTTGGACTTGAGGTAGGGTTTCCTGATTTCCCGATGATTGGGCTATGTCACTTTTAATCTTGGTGCTTATATATAGTACTATAAATATGAGTATTATTGTTGCTTTGCTTGATGAATATTATTTGATGTTATGTGAATATTATTATTGATGTTTTTCCGTGGATATTAGTTGATGTTGGGTGAATATTATTATTCATGTGATTAAGCCTGATATATTATTGTCATTATCTGTGTTATTATTCAACAGAAGTAAATGATGTTTGCATTGCATTACATATGCATCATAAACGCAATGGTGTTTAGGGGGTGTGTGTGTGTCGTTTGAAGTATATCTAAGGGGTGGGAGAAGGCCTTAGATATATCTGAGTAAAAAAAAAAGTGGAATATATTCAAGTGACGGGAGCAAGGCTTGAATATATTGAGGGGAGGTGATGGGAGCAGGGCCTCTAATGAAAAGTGAAAGTTGAGAAATTTGTAAATAAAGGAAAAATGGGTTAAGGGACGGATGGGCGCTAGTTCATATTTTAGGGTATTCGAAGCCACAGTGGTAAAACGCATGGTATGGGACATGCAAGTTTGTTGCCCTAAGATATGAATTAGTGGGATTAGAAGGGAGTGAGTTCATGGCATCACCGCATATGCAAATTTATTTATCTGGTATGATTGCATAATTTATATATCTTGTGTTGTTTGATGCATGACA